TAGCACCTTACGAATTGTTTTATGATTTTGTTTTACTGTTTTAATGTTTATAGGATATCAGTAGATCTGTAAGCCACCCAGAGCTTGCTCAGGCGTGGAGGGTGGCGTATAAATCAAATCAATCAATCATAATGCTCAAAGTCAGGTGATGGAGTTCTTGAGATTGGTATGGCATTCTGTAGGACCTTAGGGACTGGCTCTGGTTCCAGAATCTGCTTCAGGTGGTATGGAGTCACAGCAGCAGACAGAAACGTATGAAGAACCACCCACTGCAGGGGCCAATTCCAATCTTGGGGGAAATTGCTGTTCAGACATCTGCCACTGGTACCACTTGTGTTTCTTTCCCCCAGGAACTACAAATCAAGTGTCGTGAAAAGACCCTTTCACTGGCTCCATTCTAGGGAGATGCCTTTGTCCCTGGCAGTTCTTTGAAGCCAGGAAGACCAACACTGGCGCTGGAAGCAGATATGCTGAGACTGAGGCACACGTAGAGATAGAAGATTTCCAGAAATTCTGAAGCCATGGGAAAAAGAAGCGTGCATGGGTGTCGGTGGTGACTGTAAGGAAACTGAATTTTTTCCCAAAAACCTGAAACATATCCAATACTTACTTTCTTATCAAGCCTAAGCTTATGTTACTGTTTTCATTGTACTATTTAGCATATTTATTTGGCACAGTAAATGAAATTTTAAAGTATAACTGGCTTGGTTTTCTCCAGGAAAAATTGAGAGTACACTCAATACCAAAGAAAGACAGCTGCAAACTGCTACACTCTGTGCTACCTTAGCACATGTGTCTTGCTTTCTGCAATCTGAGTGGCAGGCAAAAATAAAAGACAAAAATTGAAAACACAAATTTGGCAGTAGAGAGAGTGTGTTATCTGTACAGAAACATACAGTCACAGGGCTAGCAACATAGCAGCATAACATTGAAAACACTGAAATTCAATAGTGTATTATCATACACATTATATGATAATGTGAACAAAAGTTGGTCACACTTAAGCAAAAAGTCCCTGAAAATATTGTTTGTCTATAGTATATATACACAGGAATTGTCATCTAATGCTGTACGTCGACTGACATGCTGGACGTTCTGAGGAAGTAAAGCCTTGTCTTAAAAAAAAGCATTTCATTATTTCCAAAAGGGAAAATATTCCACAGGCCTTTTCTCAGTGCTCCCCAAAAGTTCTGGAAGTTTGTACAAAGAAGTTCCACACAGGTGCAAGGCCCCATCAATGTGATGCACAGAGAGCATGAAAAAACAACAGCACTATATATACATGCAGTAGAAAAATAACTCTAATATTTTCAAATATACAGCAAATATAAATGCAAAGATGGTATAAATTAAGCCAGACCTCATCTCCAGGAGCATTTCCTAACAGTGAATTTTGGAACATGTAAAGTGCTCTGAACCATGTGTCTGGGGTACTTAGCAGGCACCTGCCCTGTTCAACAGTTGTGCCTACGTGGGGGGGGGGGAGACATCTGGTGGGAGAGAAGGTGCCGTCTCACTCGCCTGGGGAAAGTGAAGGCCAAATTAGTCATTGCTGTCTCTTACCCCTAGCCCTGTAACACCACTCCCCAGCTCACACCTCTTCCTGGTGTTATGTACGCAGAGCGCCACCTGTGTTAAGTACAATAAACGTGTGCTACAGTATGTCGTCGTCTGAGTCCTCCATGCGGCGAACCCAGTACTTTTCACTATGTCTGCCTTTAGACTACTACCTACCTTTGCTTCAAGGGAAAAAAGCCAACATTCGCCCAGGGGTCGTTTCGTAGAAAAAGAGCTAGGGGAACTCATTAGCATATGCCACACCCCGACATCACCGGACGTGTGTCATAAGGCCACACCCCCTGACATCACCAGAAGTGTGTCATAAGGCCACACAACCCGCCCCCAACGGTCCTGGCCGCCACCGGCGGCCTTGCAGCTGGAATTTTAGGGGCCCGGCGGTGGACCTGCAAGGCCGGCGGGAGTGCAAGGAAGCCCCGCGAAGGCCCTCCCTGGCCCCAGGCAGGCAGGGGTGGGGAGAGGCAGGGAGGAAGCAACTTACCCTCCCTCTTCTCCTGCCTCCTCCTGGCTGAATGAGGGCCGGAAGCGGGGCGGCCGGAAGCGGGGGGCGGGGCTTCGTCATGTGCCCCGCCCCCCATACCTCACCCAGGGGAACTGCGATCCCCTGCGATCCCCCCCCGAAATGACCTCTGCATTCGCCCGGCCCAGCTCTGGCAGCCTGATCCTTTGAGCAAGAGCGCTGTTGCCTTACTAATCTGCTTCAGCAACCTAAAAGCCCTGCAGAGAAGAGCATTTGCTTCCCTGGGCCTTCCCTTTAAATCTGGGGGAAGGAGGACTCCACCAGAGGCTCATGTGAGGTGCTGCTTGCCGCCAGCCAGCCTTCCTCTTGCTATAGCAACGGGTCCGGTCACCATTGCTGGAAACAGCTGGAGATGTGTAAAATATTTCAAGGCATTGAAGAAATCTGCTGCTTTAGGCCCCCTTCACCTTGTCTCAGGGTGAATTGGACTCTGAATACATGCATTCCTTTTCATTGGGCGAGACAGCAGGCTAAGAAGCCCCTTCGTTTGCTTTCTTCGGACAAGCTCCGGCAGACAGGATGGTTCTGTGGTTATCAGGGGGCTGGTCAGCCAGCCCCCCCCCTAGAGTCAGAAATGAGCGGCTTATGCATTTTCAGGACCGGCAGATTCTCTAGTTATCCGGGGCTGGAAGTGTGTTCTCTCCTCTCCTGTACGGTCAGCTACATAATAAAATCTGTGCCAAGCAGCAGTGAGGGTTTCTAAGCACTCCAGCAAGTGGGATATCTTTCGTTTTCACAACAGCTGTAACTGTTTCCCCCCATTTTCTTTCAAAGGCAAAGAGCAGAAAACATTTTATTTCCACTTAAAATTTGATAGGGCAATGAGGGGCAAGATGAAGGGGGGGGGGAGGCAGATCCTCCCTAAGAGCTTCCAGGCAGTCAGGATTCTGTAAGGAGTGAGGCAATTTTAAAATTTAATTCACATTAAAAGGCCAGGTATAAAATGAAGTAAATAAATAAAATAGGGTAATCATTTGAAAACGACCTTCAGAAATTTGGGAGTGTTATCATGTTGGAGCCAGGTTGGCGTAGTGGTTAAGTGCACAGACTCTAACCTGGGAGAACCGGGTTTGATTCCCCACTCCTCCACTTGCACCTGCTGATGTGACCTTGGGTCAGTCACAAGCTCTGGCACAGCTGTCCTTGAAAAAGAGCCATTTGTGTCAGAGCTCTCTCAGCCCCACCCACCTCACCGGGTGTCTGTTGTGGGGAGGGGAAGGGAAGGGAAAGGAGACTGTAAGCCACTCTGAGACTCCAAGTGAAGAGTGGGGTATTAATCCAATCTCCTCCTCCTCAGTTACAGTATGTTGGTGTTCATGTTTTGTGGTAAACGCAGCCAAGCTGTGACCCAGACAATCAAGGATGCGCAGTAAACTCCACTGACTCTCTCTCTGGAAGACGGTCCTCGCCAACTACCCCACCTCTTCCCTGGAAAACGTCCCTATGTGGTGAGCAGCAGGGTGATGAAATGTCTCAACTGGCACAGGAGACAGCCCTTCCTCCCAAGCAAGGCAGCTGGCAAAGGGACGATGCCAGAATTCTCCAGCCCGTCCCAGGAACCTGCCCTGTAGGCAGACACCTGAGGAGGAAACCCAGCTGCGTTAAAGTCAAGCTGCAGCCAAGGAGGCGGGGGGTGGTCCCAGATTAGAGTCTGCACATTTAACCACTACACCAAACTGGCAACAGGAGAAATAGATAAGCTATACTTAGACTGGTCTAGGGGCACCTGACCCTCGCTGCAACCCTTTAACCATAGTGTGGTACATTTATATCATTTCAGAAACAAAATAGAAAATTTTCTTTCATGGTTTATAAATTTGTATATGGGAGGCAGACACAAAGGTGTGTGTGTGTGTGTGTTTGATGTGAGCTGTGTACCAGCTGTCCACTGGCCACATCCTGGGAAAAGAACTAGCATGAATGTACCATCAGCCTCTGAAGGGAAACCACTGCAAGGAATTGAATCCCTACCTTTTCGAGAGTTTGGTGTAGTGGTTAAGAATGGCAGATTCTGGTCTGGAGAACCTGGTTTGATTCCTCACGCCTCCACATGCAGCCAGCTGGGTTACCTTGGGTCAGTCACAGTTCTCTCAGAGCTGTTCTCTCAAGAGCAGCTCTCCCAGAGCTCTCTCAGCCCCACCTACCTGACAGGGTGTCTGCTGTGGGGAGGGGAAGGGGATTGTCAGCCATTCTGAGATTCCGAGTGAAGGGCGGGGTATAAATCCAACTCTTCTTCTACTTCTACCCTGACCAGCAGAGATCTCGAAATACTCCTATAGCTGCCCACCATTGTTGCTAGTCACCGCTAGCATGGGTGGAGGTCCAATGTGGTAGGGTATGACTTGTCAGAAGGTCCAGTTGCCCCCTTCAGATGAAATACACTTGGGTCTGTCCAAAGCAGGAACAATGTGAGGTTCTGAGCATAGATCACTAGGGAGGTCTTGGCCTTCCCAGCACTAGCTGAAATGTTCTCTGTGGCTGTGCAGAGATACTAGAGAGCCAGTTTGGTGTAGTGGTTAGGAGTGCGGGCTCTAATCTGGGACAACTGGGTTTGATTCCCCACTCCTCCACATGCAGCTGCCGGTGTGACCTTGGGTCAGTCACAAGTTCTTTCAGAGCTGTTCTCTTAAGGACAATTATCAAAAGAGCTCACTCAGCCCCACCTACCTCACAGAGTGTCTGTTGTGGGGAAGGGAAGGGAAAGGAGATTGTAAGCAGCTCTGAGACTCTTTCGGGTAGTGAAAGGCGAGGTATAAATCCAATCTCTTCTCTCTCTTCTCCTTCTACTAACAACTGCATATATATATATTTTGAAAACCTTTAAATTAAATTAATACAAAATAGCAACCAGGCCTCTGGATCACGTTATGTAGCACACTGCTATTTATTTTGATTCTTCTTCACTTGTCAAATGGTAAAAGGAGTGCTTACAGGCAGTACGGAGGACAAATAAACCACACCAGATTCTGCTCTGTTGGGAGTCACAGGTTGGTTTTGCTTTTTTTTTGGGGGGGGGGACTTTTCTTGCTTTCAAACCCTAAAGAAATGTTTATCTTTCAAAGAAAAAATACCTGCTTTTGCAAAACCGATTAGAAAAGGAAGGCGACTCTGGCCACTCAAGAGAAATCACTGTGTAGTGAGCAATACGTCCTCCGCAATGTAGATGGCTGCTTCCCACTCAGGAGCAGGTGAAACCAGTAATGGGTTGAAGGACATGCCTGTCTGGGGCAGGTCCCTACATGCATATCCCTCAGAGCACAACGGCCATACCAAGTGATGCATTGCAAGCGGGAATGAACTGTGAGACAGGGAGAACTTCCGTCTCGCCTCACCTGGGACACACCAGCTCCGATCCAAGTGACGTCAGACCCCCTTGAAAGCACCAGGGCTTCCAGCCATGGTCATTCACTGCACCCAGGAATATCAGCGGGACTTCACTGTAACTCACTTTAACTAGACCAAGTCAGGTTCTCAGAAGGGTAAGCTCACATAGCCAGCTGCATTTTTACTTCCTGCTAAAGCCCCACACGGGAAACTGCCACACAGGTACATCCCAAAACCCAAATTCGAGTGGTGTTTGGATCCCACACCACGCCATCAACGTCTGATCACAGTGCCTGGGCAAATGATGCTGTCATGATCCACAGCCATGTAACTCGTGCCAGGGAACCGGCAGTGCTCCTATTGGAAAGAACCACATCACCTGCAAGTCCCCCTGGCTCCTGCTGACAGAGATCCCAGCACCCCCAACCACGTGGAAGCAGTTTCCACACCATACGGGTAATGAATGGACCAGGCCCAAGACAGAACGACGACGGCCAGTCATGTCCAGAGACCCCCTTTGCCCTTGGCCTGCTGAGCAAGGGGCCAGGTCACACAGCAGAGGGAGGGAGGGAGGAGAGCAGATCTGACATTACGCTGCAGGCCCTCATCCTCCAGCCAGGTCTGTCGCAAAGGCCCCACTTCCTGTGCTGCAGCACCTGTCCCTGCAATGGGCCTGGTTTGCAGCTGAAGGCACCTGGCCGGAAAAACAGTCTGACACCTATGGCTAAACGGTACCACCATTATCTAAATCTTCTATCAGTCCCTCGAGTATCACTCTGGTCAGAAGGACATCCCCTCCCTCAATTTCTGATTATTCAGGTATTCTGGGAGACTCCCTCGCAAGATGGCGTAAGACAGGTTTTGCTGAATCCCACAGCGGTGTCCTTAAGCGTGAACCGAGATCGTCACCCAGAGTCCTTCAGAGGACGCTCTGTCTGTTCACATCCATGTTGTACTCGGATGAACTGGAGCCGCTTTGGCCAAACTCCATGAAAATCCCATCGGAATCCGACTCTATTGACTCCAAAATCTGGTCCACAATATTCTCCGGGCTGGCTGTAGGGGCGATGGCTAGTAAGTCTTGGTCTCTGGACAGCTCAAATGCCCTGCTCGGGTCACCCCCTGGGTAGGAGAGTCCTTTGGGTGGCTCTGGTGCCTTGAGGTGGCCAGTGCACTGCGCACAGCCAGCAGACAGCCTTTCTGCCTCTCCCGAGTGTGAGTTTTTGGTGGTAGCCATTGAATTCCTGGAGCCGCTGTCCATGATCGTCGTTAGATTGGAGTAGTCCTGTGTCTCCATGCACAGGGTCATCTCGGAGACAGAGTGCCTTCGGATGCCGGAGCTGTTGGGGGCCGCCCCCTCCGTTTCATACTCGGCTACTGGAGTCAGCAGGGGGTTGTTGTAACTTTTGGATCGCACCACAGGGTTCTTGGCGGGGATGTCTCCTGATTTAGAGCGCCGGAAGAATCGCTTTTCTGTCGGGAAACACATGGGACAATTAAAATCTGCACGCTGCATTTCTGTCGCTACAAGTGCTGCTACACTTGGCAGATTCTAATTTATTTGCTTTGTTTTTTTAACAAGACGGGGACTTTGGCCTCTGCCACTTCTCCTGTCTGCCCCCCCCCAAGTTCACCCCGCCCACTCCAGACTTCTTCCACTCACTTGTTGGTCGGCAGCGCCCCCTCTTCTAATCTTCCCTTCTGCCTTCTCAGGTCCTTCATGAGCTTCTTTGCTTTCCACCACCTCTTCATCAAGATAATCAGGTGATTATAAAGCTGAACTCCTTGACTATTTTGAATGGTTTGCTCACCACCCTCGTTCTTGCAGTTTATTCTACTCTGAAGCTGTGTAGCCAGGGATATCATAACCTGGCCTCCCCCCAGAAGCCTGCCCTTCTGTTCCACTTGATTAAGGAACTAACTTTATGGTAGGGCAAGGTTGAGTGGATGGTCCAAATGGACACGGGGCAGTTCTCAAAGGGCCACCCCAGAAGGCTCACGGGTTGCTGAAATTCCTCTATCCAATGCTGGACTTCCTGATTCTTGGCAAGCAAGAATCAGGTATAACAAATCACTTCTTATGTTCTTACACAAGAGTCTTATGATCACTTAACCCAGACTAGTCGGGACCTAATTTCTTAGGAGACCCCAGGTATGCACTTTGGCCTCACAAGCCCAAGGATTGCACGGATTCCGGTTTAAAAATAAAAAGCAGATCCTGTTAGCCTGAAATCCCCCACCAGTGCGTTAGGAGACTTTCCAACCGTGGCTTCACTTGGTTATTTATAGTCTTCTATCACACTATTTTTGGGGAAGCTAAGAGCTGCTTACAAGCTCCGTCTTACTAGTCACCGACATCTCCTTAGCTTAGGAAGAACAGTGTGACGGCCGAAGCTCTCAGATGGCTCACACTGCCCACTAGGTGGCACTAGGCGGCAACAAGCCAGGGATGTTGCTTGCCAGGGAGAGAAGCTGACAGATTTCAGGAGAAGGCCAACAGCAGAGTTGTTTACAACTCCTCTGCCCCTGGTGCCAACCTCTGCCCTGAAGCTGCCCCCACTCTTCGTTCCTTGAACCTTCCTTTTCCTCACAGCTTCTGGACTCCCGTCTCATGCAGCCTAGCCAAGATATTCCACGTCGGCTGCTGACGCTCGTGCGCGCGAGCAGCCATTTTAGACTGTCTGCTCCCAAACACCATTACGCTCCCGTGTCTTCTGTGAAAGCCGTGGCAGGGGTTACTAAGGAAAAAACAGCAGCAGCGTCATTAGCGAGAGTCGCTTTGGCTCACCCATCCATCAACGGAAAACCGGTGTCCAGGGCAAGCCGGCCACTGAACTCGGAGGGGGAGTATCCTGGCGATGAAGCTCCCCCTCCCACAACCCCCCCCCCCACGCTCCAAGCATCTCCAGAGTATGGGCAGTGCCATTACCTGGCAGAGCTTTTTGTTGGCAGGTGGTTCCCACCTTGAAAAACCAGTCACCGCTGGAGGAACTGGAGAACGGGTAAGCTCCAACTGTCCCTGAGGTATGGGCCAGACACCGGAGATTGAAACGCCTGACCCCTTCCAACACCCCCCCCCACTTATCTGCAGCCTCTGTACTCTCATCCCAGCCCCCAGGCACAGCCAGGAGGAGAACAAGGGTTGTGCAATGAAGAGAGACCCGCCCACCACCACCACCACGGTCACCTAAATGGTCTCCAGCAGAACAAAACAGCAGCTGCCCAAAAACATCAACAGTTGCTCTTTTACCCACCAAGAGCTTCAGACAAAAGGACACTGCTTTTTACTTGTGAATACTGTGGGAACACAATCAAAGAAGGAAATTTTTGGACCATAGGTTTATTTTATAATCACTGGGCTAGTGATTGCACTGTAAAGGTCTTATGTGCATATTTATCCTGTGCCTGGTTATTTTACTTCTGAACAATTTACTTTATGGTCCTTATTGAATCTATACTTGGTATATATTTCAGAAAAATCTGAAAACTGTTTTAAAAAGAGAAGGTAATCCCCCCTCACTAATTAGCAAGTGACCTCTGTGCATGTGCAGTTGCCTCAAGACGCCATGGAAAAGAAGCTGATATAAACCTACCAGGAGGCAAGTAGAAGAGGCCAACTCAGCAGGATAAGGAGCGGTAAGGAAACAGGGCAATTCTGCAAACTGGGAATTGGATTCCAATGAAGAACTGGGCATGGGGGGGGGGGACTAAACAAAAGGGACCGGGGGGCTTTCTCTTCTCCCGTCAGTTCTCACTGGTCCCTCTCTTACCTAAAAAACACGAAGAGTGAGTGATGGGCCCCTCATTTGAGTACAAGCCATAGGTGCCCAAGTAAGGGGAAACGACCTTCTGTATCAGAGATTCCAGTTTCAAGTAGTCTTCAGTCACTCCTTTTGATTCATGGACACCCTGAGGGAATACAGAGGGAAGGAAGTTAAATTAACATCTTAGCCCAGTGACACTCCCTCCATGGCTCACAGAGAGCGACGTCTGCAATCACCATCAGCCAAAAGGGCTACACTACTATATGCCCTCTGGGCCTCCCCACCATACATAATAATAGAAGACACAAATTTTAATATTAAATAACACAGCCATTAACCTTTTAAATTACTACTGCACATGTCGGGCTGCCTCTCCTGACCACCACTGAACCCTGCTTGTCTGGAGTGAATGAAAGGGTTTCCTTTCCTGCCTTCTCACTCTCCTCAGCACGGTAGCTCAGGCAAGAGGGGAATATTTGCCAAGGCACCTAGAGCAAAACAACCTCGCCATGGGAAAAAGGGAGTAAACCACCACCAGCTTTTTTCCTGGGTGGCTGTCACAGTGCTGGTTTTACTCCTGCTCTCTGCAGCCAGTTTTCTTTACTCCTGACAGTGGCATGGGTGCTTAGCTAGGACTGCAAAGGCTACTGATGGGTGGGGAGATGTTCAAGAGGCCCCTTCTCCCAGTCTCTGGCAGGAGACCTGCAGCTCGGGGACACTTGCGGTTTATCCATCATCCAGTACCTCAAGCAGTGGCTGTTTCAGGTGGGGAACCACTTGTCATCCATAAGCCCCACGGGCAGGGCTCATTTCCAGCCGGAATGAGCCGGGACAGCATTCCAGAAGTAACAAGCCCAGGAGCGGGCACATGTGGTGGCAAGCCCTGCCCCCAGCAGCCCTCAGTCGGGCCAGGAGGAGCGGGCAAGCCAGAGAAGGCCCTGCAAGGAGTCGGGAGGCTTTTAAATGCCTCCCCGTGCCTTTCCTGGCCCCCCTGCCATCCTCCCTGGCCCGCTTCTGTTAGGCAGAAGTGCCTGAGATCCCCCCCCCTTTTCGCTTGGAGGCGAAGGGAAGGGAGAGGGGGAAAGGAAAAGAACTCAGGTGCGCTGGCCCCTCTGTCAGGCAGAAGTGCCTGAGATCCCCCCCTCCTTCGCCCCACTTGGAGGCGAAGGCAGGGCTCCCAAGTACTTACCTTAATTCGGCGGGGGATGTATAGTTCTTTCCAGGACCATTCCCGCAGGGAAAACACAGGCGCTGCACTATTCCATCACCCAGACGTGACGTAGGCACGTAGCCGGGAGACGCTCTAGCAATGGGGCTGGAAACTCGATGGTACCAGTGCAGCACCTGTGTTCTAAGCAAGAATCTTCCGGCGGGGAAGCATGTGTCCCCCGCCGGATCGTAGGTAGGTACTTGGGAACCCTAGGCGAAGGGAAGGGAGAGGTCAGGGGGTGTGGCATATGCAATTAAGTTATGCTAATGAGTTATGCTGATGAGCTCCTGCACCTCTTTTTCTATTAAATGACCCCCGCCCACAGGGCAATGGTTTTCTTCATTTTCCTTGAACATGAGGCAGATGCCACATTGGAGAACAGTGCCCAGAAGAGCCACAGGTAGCAAGCGATTATATCAGGTTCACATCATTCATCCATGCAAAAGGAAGCAGGCATGCAATGCCCCCAAGGTAATTCCTAGTCTGTAAAAAGATGTGGAATAGGCATGGGGATACTGCACTACTTCCATGGCCCACTGTGTCTCTGCAACATGAGAGTGTAGCCGTGTCGGTCTGCAGTAGAACAGCTAGATTCAAGTCCAGTAGCACCTTAGAGAAGAACAAGATTTTCAGAGTATGAGCTTTCGAGAGTAAAAGCTCCATTTGTCAGATCTAGTATATGCCTGCAACAGAAGAATCATATTGTCATAAGTCAGTCTGCACTGAGTGATGGCTCAGATTTCTCAGACAAAGAGCTACTGCTAGCCCTGAGCCAGTAACTGAGCAGCTGGCTCTGAGCCAGAAGGAGAACAACAAGAGATCAGGTTACTGGCTGATCAGGAGTCACAGCCTACAGCTGAAACCAAGCCAACACCTTGTAGCTCTGAAGCAGTAAACAAGTCTTCAGAAGCCTCTCCCAGCCCACCTAGCTCACCCATGCCTTGCCTTTTTTCTATCCCCTGGTTTCTACAAAAAACACTGCAGCTTCCTCAGGCTCTCTGCCCCACATAGCAGACCTGAACAGCCACAGATGAGAGAAACCAATATCCCACAGATCGTACACAGCAGTGGGAATTAAAATGAGGAATTTATCAAGGGACAAAAAGAAATGGGAATCGGGATAAATTAACATACATAAATCCCCAAGAGGACTGGAGAATCTTAGGCACTGAACGTAATCCAACACAATGTGGTAACGTTATAAAAAGGAGCTCAAATCAACATATAATCATGCATCTAGCTATCAACAGTTTCTATCTGCCACTTCCTCCATCTCTGTGGACAGAAAACTAAATCCAACTCCCCCCCTTGCCCAACTGTCACCAGAGTTTTGTGGCAACAGGATCTTCACTGGCACAGCAACCTGCTCTTGACACAGGGGTTGTAGTTCTTTGACAAAATACTCTGCCCTGCACAAAGCTTTGCATCCCTGAACCTATCTCTTTCGGGCCCTGCTCTCCTTTGCTCTTCCTTTAAGCCTCATATAAAACCAGCATTCTTTCATATCCTCATATAAAACCAGCATTCTTTCACAGTCTTCTTTTCCCCCCAAAAAAACAATTTATTAGGATATATTAAGCGATCAAACATACATCATATTACTAATTGTCATACATCCTTTTCTCCTATTTCCCCACCCCTTTTGACTTCCCACAGTGCTCCAACCTCCAGCCCACATCCTAAATTCTCTTCATTTCACCCTTACTCACTAGTCACATTCTACAGGTAACATATCTTTCAACTATTATTCTTATACATTTATCCTTCTTCTAATGTCATTCTTTTTTAAATAGTTATCAAAGCAAAGTAAGTTGTTCTTTACAACCCAATATTTCTCTAAATATTCTTTAAAGTCTTTCCAGTCTGCAAAACATTCTTCTGCTTCCAGATTTTCAAGCTTCCTTGCCATTTTGTCCATTTCAACCATAAAAAGTAATTTCTTTATCCACTCCCCTATTTCAGGAGTTCTGTCCTGCTTCCAGCATTGAGCATATGTCATTCTAGCAGTTGTGATCATGTACCACATCAAAGTCCTTTTCACCATGTTGACTTCTTCCATTTTAAGTCCCAAAAGCAATATTTCAGGTTCTTTCTTAAATTTACATTTCACAATTTTCTCCATCTCCGCATGAACCTCAGCCCAAATTTTTTTTGCTTTATCGCATGTCCACCACATATGATAAAAAGAGCCCTCTATTTTTTTTACATTTCCAACATTTGTTTGACATATTACTATTTATATTTGCAATCTTTTTTGGTGTCATATACTATCTATACATCATCTTATAACAATTTTCTTTTAGGTTATTACACGTTGATATTTTCATTGCATTTTTCCATAAAAATTCCCAAGATAACATAGTTTTCTTGTCTGTTTGCTGAAACTCTGGCAAAACTTGCCTTACCGGCCATGATACATTACTTAATTTCTTTAATTTCCTTAACTACCCGACGAACGCCCTGACCTGGATAGCCCAAGCTAGCCTGATCTTGTCAGATCTGGGAAGCTAAGCAGGTTCGGCCCTGGCCAGTATGTGGATGGGAGGCCTCCAAGGAATACCAGGGCCGTGACATGAAGGCAGGCAATGGCAAACCACCTCTGAACATCTCGCTCCTTGAAAACTGTGACTTGCTGGCACTTTCCACTTCCACCCTGGCCTGCTTCTCAGTGAGTGGAAGATTTGAGCCTGGAAGGGGCTCCTGTGACAGAATGCAACTCCCACACAAAGAAGTTACCCTCTGAAGAGGAAATGAGACATCAGAGGGAACACGTCTAACCTTGCGTTTTCCTTCACAGGGTAGTTTTCGGGAAAGAGCGCACAGAGGACAATCCAATCATGCGAGCTGCGTCTGCACTCCAAAGTGGTACAGCCCAAGCTCAAATTTTGACCTGTCAGAACACGGCATTCAGCCCTCAGATATCTTAGGTAGCAGCGGGGGGGTTGGGTTTAGACAATCTAAATTCATAGCCTTATTAATGTAGGAATGAATAGTTTCCATGCAATGGAAACCCATTTGTATTCGCGCTCAGCAATATTTTGATGTTCGTCTCCAGTTAAAATTAATAGCTAGAACTTCAGGTTTTGTGAAACTGACACAAAATCCTGGTCTTTCACTACATTCTTGAAAGTAAAGTCTGGGTATATTTAGTGAATTAATGGGTTCTGTTAAGTGTAGAACTGTACCATCAGCAAAAAGGCTGATTTAACGGCAAAAAAAAATCTCATCTTTGATTTCTACCTCAGTTTCAACTGCTTCAGCAAGTGGCACAAGGGATAGGGAGGACAGGAGTGGAGATAAAGGGAATCCTGGCTTAGTCCCTGATGTAAAATTCAGAAGACCTAAATTACACCTTCACGTTAAAAATATGACATTCCCGTTATGAGAAAAGAATAGGGCGGACAGGAGTGGAGATAAAGGGAATCCTGGCTTAGTCCCTGATGTAAAATTCAGAAGACCTAAATTACACCTTCACATTAAAAATATGAAAAAAAAGAACTAAGCATTTATGGCTGGACTCAGATAGATCCTCAGATAGATCATTTCCCTTCTACATTTCCAGTTCCATACGTTCAACTTTTGTTGTGAGTCAGAATGGCAACCCCCTAACATTTAACTGAAAAGAACATAAGAGAAGTCAATGTTGGATCAGCCCGTCCAGTCCCACACTCCGTCACACAGTGGCCAAATACAGAGTTTTTCACACTCAGCATCTCCCCAGCAGTCCTGGGCCTGGCCCAACACATGGAAACACTAATGCCACCTTGTATTTCAAACCCAAGTTCAATGTTCCCTCTAAGCTGTGGAGTCTTGTGAGCAACAATTCTACTTTGTGAGCAACTGGCATCAAAGTTGTGAGCGAGCGGTTTGGCTGCTGCATAAATTAGGTTACTCCGGAGCCCTCCTTCCTGAGCTGGGACGAAAATGTGTGAGCCAGAGGCTAAAAAACTGTGAGCTAGCTCACACGAACTCAGCTTAGAGGGAACACTGAAGTCTACCCATTTGATGGGCTACTTTTAAGAATCCCATAGTCCACTAATGGGTTTTCAGCGTACTGTCAGAGCCGAAATGTTCGATAAAATTGGATACTTGAATACTTTCCCTTATAAAGAAAAAAGTTGTGTGCACATACACAACTAAGCTTATCAGGGACAAGTCTAGCCTAGAACTCTTTCACTGGACATATTAGTTAGATGATATGCATATTAGTTAGATAATATGCATATAATTGTGGCTGAGATCCAAGAAGCGGTGGGAGACATTAGTGTCTGCCTCAACAGCCACAGTCAGCTTACTCTGGTTTCTCTGAAGAGATCTCCTTGGCGGTGCTTGTGAAGATCTGCAAATGCTGGCTTGACTGCTGTCAAACACTTCTGATGGTTTCCAAAAATAAATAAACTGAGCCTTCCATGCCTGTGCTCCTGTCTCAGCTTTAACGAGTCTTTCATTCTGGCGGATTTCAGGCTTCCAAGTCTTCTCCACACTCTTATTCTCTTGAGAAAAACTAAATCAGCCGTACTGGGCTTTCCTTTGCTTTTGAAGTATGATTGATGAAACCGATAGGAGTTCACTTACATCAGTCTGCTTCGGCATGATCAGTTCTTGCTAAGAATTTAGTGACGTATTATCTGGGACAAGTGGGCTTTCGTGTACCCCCACAGAAATCAGCATAAATGCGATGCCTCCTGCCAAATGTGCAAATGTCCCTCCAAAGGGTAATTTCTTTGCAGCTGCTTCTCCATGGTGCTGTAAATGCAACCGAGTGGAGAGGAATGAGCACTTGTCCCAGAGAAAGTTATCCCAGAGAAAGGCTGGTTGAGAATATTGCCACTCAGCTGAGAATGGCTGGTAGCAGTGACCTGTACAAAATGGATGAGCTGACTCAAGTCATAACTGATGCCCTGTGGTGGAGAAGATGGCAGCAGTGCCACAAATTTGGTGTAGTGGTTAAGTGTGCGGACTCTAATCTGGGAGAACCGGGTTTGATTCCCCACTCCTCCACTTGCACTTGCTGATGTGACCTTGGGTCAGTCACAAGCTCTGGCACAGCTGTTCCTGAAAGAGCTGTTTGTGTCAGAGCTCTCTCAGCCCCACCCACCTCACAGGGTGTCTGTTGTGGGGAGGGGAGGGGAAAGGAGTTTAGTTT